ACAAAGTCCTCAGGCCTCAGGGAGGCTCCCTTCAAAATGATTCTAAGTCTGCCCACCAACTGATTCCCGAGGTTTGATCAGGCGGCTCCCAAGTTATCACGCCTGACAGGATGCTGCTTAATGACCACATACACGATCTGAGAATGTCATTCTGTATGGCTCCTTTACATGTATGTGAACAGCCGCCTTCCAACTGATTCGCGACGGAGTTCGTGTCGGAGAAAACCACCTTGCTGATTTAATGAGGTCATTAAAAGGAAACTGCTTGGACCAGCTTCCTCACACGTGCCTGTTTGTCTGCCATCGACGTCACTGGCTTCGTTGTTGTCGAGGTCGCTGAGCAAACCAGCATTCCAGCATTTGCCGTGTGGCCCAAACTTGGCCACCAACATTACCATGGCTTCTTGCATGTGCAAACATATGGCTGTGGCTCAAAAAACCGGTACCAACATGGAAACCTGGTAAGTGGAAACATGGACTAAAACCTGCGTAACCCCTCCTGTTTAATTTTGAGCCACCCCCATATGAGCATGTGGCATTCATCTGGGCCAGGCCTGTAGTTGTTGAAGTGGTTTCCAGCCCACCATGATCACCAAATTGAATCACCTCATTGAACCCTTCTGCAAGGTCAACGTCAAAAAGAATGCCAAGGCTTGCGCGCTAGCATAGGGTGCCTGCAAACAAGAACGTGTGCTGTATGACTGTCGTCTCTGCTCTTCCACAAACGATGTGGACCTGCCTCAGGCTTTGTTCATCCCCCACACTATGCAATGATTCATTCCCATCTAATGTGCCTTGCCAACGTGGTTCTTGGAATACACGAGAAAGGTGTCGGCGCCACTCAGCCTGAGCATGCATCAACATGCAGAACACTTGAGCAATCAAGCTGTCGGTCCCGGCGTAGTCAAGGGGATCGTGAAGGAGTTGGTACCTACATCCACAGAGCCCAAGTACCTGGCAAAAGGAGAGGTGCACCATTCCTTGGCACGTAACTCCAGCCTCTCAGTTGCCGAAATTGAAATGCCCTGGAAAAGGAGCAGCTGAAGCATGTCACAGTGTTGACATCTTTCACTATGTTGCCACCGTCCTCTGACAAATAGATGTCAAAGCCATCAACGATTGTCCAGTCCTGTCTGATTCCAAATATAAGCCATGCCAAGCAAGTGAAAGAAGACAGCTGACAAGAGAGAGGCAGAGAGAGGGAGAAATGTGCAAACATGCTTGACTCCTCCCCTGGTCCAGGCATTTCCGGACCAGTTACAGTCCTCGCAGATCAGTGGCTCAGGTGCCATGCTCGCAAAATGCAAATTCCTTGATCTGAGAATAGCACCAAGATAGGGTTCCAGAAACAGAAACACCTGCAGACTCCACGGGAGTCGTGTCCTGCCAAAGCGTAACAATTGCTGTGCGCGCCAATTACTATGCTGCCATATTGCAAAATTAACGCAGCAGAGAGCACTCGATGTGGTGCTCTGAATAAGCTGCCCGCTGTGAAGGCCAAGTCATTGACGTAGATGGTGTCCGCAACATTTGTGGTTTGATTGTCCTTGAGTGTTATGGTTGCGGGGTGTTCCGCAAGCTCAACGTCTGAGTGCCAAACCCACAATCGAATCTTCGCAGCATACTCGACCGCCTGCTCGCCAACAACGTCCTTGACCGTGTAGACCTGAAGTCTCAACTGAAGAGCAAACTGCCTAGTGTGAGGGTGAATGTCAAGCGCTGCACGATGAGCCAGTTGCCCGGCCATTCCTCGAAACTGCGTCCTGAGAACTTCCTGGCACAAACACATGCAAAGATGCAAAGATGTCAGTTGATGCAGTGGAACTTCAAAATCAACAAGCAAAATCGAGGCGCCGTCCTTCCCGTTCCTGGAATGAGATCCCACCTCGTTGTCCCCACCGGCACGTACCTCGAGCTGGGTTGCTGCAGGCGTCTGCTTGACTTCAATACCGATGAAGGTATGTTTGAACAAATTGCCAGCACCCACACCTGCCGACAGTCAAGCCTCCCAATGCGTATGATGCGGCCAACTAATTCTCCAATGCCAGCAAGCAGTTCAGGGCACGTTGTGAAGGAGTTTGGTTCATACCAAATCTGCTCTAACGTTGCCGCTACGTCGAAGGCCAGCCGAACGCCTTGCACGTTCCGGGCAAGACGTTCCAGGCAAAACCCATCACGGCAATCCTTCTTGCACCCAAGTAGCGGTACTCAATGATGTTGTCTGCCACTGCATTTGCAGGCTCGTCCTTGCCACTGGACGCACTCAGAAGCTGACGTACTCAGAAGCTGCTCTGCGCTTCGATCAACGGCAACCAAATATCATTATGTGACTTGCAGCTGTAAACGAGCCACTCTCCCATATCTCGGGGAATGCTAGAGCGAATGTGCAGACTTGAGTGTACAGAGCTAGCATGCGAGTGTGAAAGCCGAATCTGTGCAAACACAAACACATGCAGTGTCTGCGGTGTGTGCCCGGGCGCTGTGTGCGGATTGATCACAAGCAGAAAAGCGGCAGAAGTGGAAAGGAGACAGTGTCCTCAAGCTAAAGCAAAAAAAAGCGGCGACCAGCACAGGGGAGACACGAGGGAAGACAAAGGGAGACCAAAGGAGACAAGAGCAAAATAGAGGAGAGAGAGCGCAAAGTAGACAAGAAAACAAGGGTAGACAGGAATACAGCACGCTCCGGTCCACAAGGTCACAAGGGAAATTGAGTGCAACCGCTTGCTGGAATGGTCCATCACGTCCTTTACATGACCCAGAGTCATGGGTGGGTGTACGCTCAACATTGATAGGGACTTCCCGTGAACTGCTGCATCTGGCATCAAGCAACTGGCAGCCATGGCTCCCAGCTGACATAACCACTCATCCGGCCAAACTCATCATTCTCGTCATTGAAGACCGCGTTGCTCACACCGATTGTGAAAAGTGAGGTAGTCGTTCCCGTCAATGTAGTTAACCTGAGTTGCTCCCGCATTTCCAACACAGATGCAACTCCCTGCTTAAATGGATTTGAATCTCAATGTTGATCACGAAACTACATTGACAAAAGCTGTATGTGGCTCGCAAAGATGCCTCTTGATTTCTGCCATTCCGAGAGTGTCCCTCACAGGCGGGCCCATATTTACCCAGTCCCAACGAGACGTCCCAGCCTAGCCCTTATTTAAATCAAAGGCCATAGCCAAGCAAAGCAATCATGTCTGAGACATTGGGCTGGAGTACGTCATAGTTCAGCATTGTGCTTTGAATGGTTCTTCAAATTGGTCAGTATCTTCAACATGCAACCAAAACAGACCAACGCCGCGTCTTGCATTGCCTCAATTCTTGCAAGTAATGGTAAAATGTGATTAGTGAACCCCCTCTGATTCAACTGCCAGCTTCAAAGACGCCCACAAGGTTTGGCCAAAACAAACAAGGCTCAATTTTTGGCGGCACCTCCTAGAACCCCCTCTGATTAAAGACGCCCCTTTCCGGCCCACACTTAAAAGTATGTTAAAACATAAAGTTTCCAAAGCTATTGCTAATACTTTGACCAATACTAACTCCTTTCATGGTCTAAAGGGCTGCCATTCCAGACTTAAAAGAAGAAGAGAAAAAAACGGCCAGCAGGAAACAGCAAATGTCTTGCTGCAATTTGTTTAAAGAAACAAGGTTTGACAAGCTCTGAGCGGTACCCCCCTTCAATGCTAGGGCCCCCTGAATAACACCAAACTCCCTCTGATGAGTAGAGTCCCTCTCCAGCCCCGCAAAATGAGAAATGCAATTTCCTCTTACCTTCCTATTGCAGTCCTGTTGGCAAGACAGGGGTCCACACAAGAAAGAACCCGAGAGGACTGGCCAAGTTCGGATTAGTGCGAGGGAGGGGACTCCCAAAATCCGGCTTTGCCAAACCTTGTCGACCTTGACTCAGTTTCACCATTATCATACATTGGGAAACTTTGACAACCGAAACCGCTAAAGCTGCTATTGCACGTCTTGGCCACTTGTGCAAGCAATGTTACTGTTCTGTGAACAACACTGCACGCCAGCATTATATGGCAACAGTAGCAGCGCTTATCCGAAAGCTTTACTTCAGCTTTCGGATTGACACATCCACATGATGCAAGAGCAACAGCACGGCATACTGACCCTACACAAGTCATTCACGCATGCTTGCTTGCTTCGAGTAGTTGCTACTGTAGGGGGTCTTTACACACAAGACCGACAATGTACATTTGGTCCCAGTGGCGTTGTCAGCGTGGTTACCGTTTGGGTCATGGTGCTCGTCGCTGTCATGCTGCTTGTCGTGGTGGTCAAAGGGCTCTTTGCCTGATACTCTGTGCCTGCAAAAATGCCGACGCCGCAGAGGCCAGATGCCCGGTCTGCCGGTCTGCAAGCATTCCTAATTCCTGCCTACGGGAGAAGCTGCCTCACCGTAGCTGTTCCTTGGCATTGCTGCTGAAATCAAAATCAGCTCAGCATAGCAAAGCTGCAATGGCATTACACTGCCGCTTTGGCTCGAGGAATACATGACCACAAAATTGCGGTAACCTTCAAAATCCACTCAAATCTGGCAAATTGGCCACTCAAAGCAAACCACATGGAACACGATCCCGCCTATTGAGGTGGTTGCAACTTCAAAGGTGGTTGTATCACGAGCCACTGTGGCCACAAGCATCCGATTGGTTCCAGTAGCGTCCTGGCCATGTCAATATGCGCTTCAAAGAGAAAGGAAGACAGGCTGACATCTCAGTACAGGAAAAAAACTAGAAATCTAAGCACTGAGCTCAATCACTTGGCAATTGAACATCAACCTTGGCAAGCCTGCAAATACTTGCCAACTTCAATACTTGCAACCTATTGCATCCATCATTAGCAATCTACTCGGTCTGCCCCAGGTGATCGAAGTTGTCCTCTGCCAAATAAATGGTGTAGTGAGAAACCTTGCATTGCAAGCTGCAACAGGGTCCACTGCAGGTTCCTTCGTGTGCCGGGGTGACTTGCTGGCACACCAAGGGCTGGACCGAGGCTTGGTCTGCTGTCAGCTGGTCCAAGGTCCATGTTACCGGTCCAGCTGCGTACTCCCAGCTGGTATCCTCCGATCGGCGTGCACAAACCCGAAAAGGTCAGAAAAGGTCAGGTCCCCTTTGGATCCTGGTCGTCGAAGGCCAGGTCCTCCGCAGTTGGAACAAGCACAGCACACGAAAGTTTCAAAGGATGCGCGGGGCAGTCCGCCACGAAAGGCCCAGTGGATGGTGCAGCACCACTGTCATCATAGAGGGGCACGGCCTCAAGGCGCAAGCGTGAGGCATTGCTCATCTCGTGTCAGTTTGAGTAAGGCAAGTGCGCATCCTGAGTACGGGTTTTGATAGGCCTAAGTTTGCCGGCTGTTCTCACGCTAGGAGGGCCTTGAGCAACATGTCCAAAAATGGCACTCGAGTCATTGGCGGCCAGGTCGTTCCGGTACCTAAGCAAATGCTAGGCTAGAGATAAATGTCATGACCTACCAGTAGTCTGACAAAAATATTTTGAAATCTCACTGCTGAATGCATGACAAGCAAACCAATTTTCACGGCAAGGCATCCGGGTTGGGATGGTGGACTCAGCAGAGCACCCCAAGACCACAATCCAGTTCGCTGGCTGCGCATCGCTTGTTTGCCTCCAGAACAGCAAATGTTGCTTCCAGCATGCACTCATCCACAAAAAGAAGTGAGAACAAAGCGTGCAACAGCGCAAGGCAGCGATGGCCTGGCTTGAGCAGAGCCCAGTGTCATCGATGTTGTGCCAATCTCGATTCAGCCAAAGCAATTAGGATTGCACTTTCCATCTATTTTGGGGTCCCCACGGCAAATTGAGTTGCACCACCTGAATCCTGCACAATCTGCCCATTGGAGTTGTCTCTGGTGGTTGATTGGTAGACCTGCCAGGCAGGGACCTGCAACATGATAAGGCAGACACAAAATAAACAGACGGGAGTGCCGTCCAGTAGTCGAAATAAGTGGTGTCGGTTGGCTCAACCCAAGAGACTGTTCCTCACATTGGCGCAAGACAATGACAATGACATTGGACAATGCTCGGACCTGCCAGTTTGTGGTACAAGGCATTCCATATCACACATTACATAATTCAAGCCGCCACCAAGCTGATTCGCAGCAGAGTCTGTGTCGGAGAAGGTGACAGACTGCGGAACAATGATGCACATTCCCAATGAATTTTGAGTCTGCTAACTAAGCCCCACACTGTGCAGCCAGGAAAATCCAAGGTTGTGCTGGTGGTTGTGCTGCTGGTCGTGGTTGGAAGCGGGGGCCTACCGTCGTCCCACATATATGCAGCTACCTCAGAGACAGGATGAACTATGTTGCGCACAAGCAAACCGACGATCTCCAGCAAGATCCAGGCTCCAGTTGGAGACTCACCATGTTCATTGTAGGCATACACCATCACCTAAGTGCTTCACAAGAAATGATGCGTGCCTATGTGATGTGGCTGTTGGTGCAATACAAAACAAAACACCAAAAGGCGGGTGGCAAGGCAGGTACCCATGTATGCGACCGCTACTTTGTGTGTTTTGTCCGTGTGTCCGGGTGTAGTTTATCTGCTCCTGTCACCCTGTCTCGCTTTACCTTTGCCTCGCTGTACCTCAATCTTTGTCAGTGTGTGTGTGTGTCTTTGAGTCTGCGTGCTTGCGTGCGCATGTGACTGTGTGCGTGTGCGTGTGTGTCACGCTGCGCTTCTCTTTGTATGCGTGTTATATCTGCAAATTGTGCATACGTGTATAGCTGTGTGTTTGTATGAAAGTGTGCGCATGCACGTGCGCGTGGGCGTGCGTGCACTCCTGCGACTGCGCGTGCACGTGCGGGTGCGGCAGCCGGTGGGGATGCAGGTGCGGGTAGCGGTACGCGTGCACGTGTGTGAGTGCGAGTGCGTGTGCGTGTGCGTGTGCGTGTGCCTGTGCGTGCGCATATTGGGGGGGGGGGGGGGTGGGGCGGGCGCGCGCACATGCGTGCGTTTGTCTTTGCGCTTGGGCTTGCGCGTGCGTGCGCGCGTGCGTGTGCGTGCGAGTGTGCTTGTGTGCGTGTGTGTGCGTGTGCGCGCGCGCGTGCGTGCGTGCCTGCGTGCGTGCGTGCGTGCGTGGGTGGGTGGGTGGGTGTGTGTGTGTGTGTGTGCTTGTGAGTGTGTGTTTGCGTTTGTGTTGGCGTTGGTGTTGCGTTTGCGTTTGCGTTTGGCTTTGCGTTTGGGTCGGGGGTGGCGCTTGGGCTTGGGTGTGCGTTTGCGTTTGGGTTTGCGATTGCGCTTGCACTCGTGTTTGGGTTTGTGCTTGTGGCATGGGTTTCCGTTCGCGTGTTCCTTTGTGTTTGCGTTTGCGTTTGTGGTTGCGATTGCGCTTGCGCTGGCGCTTGCGCGCGCACGTGCAGTTGCGCGTGCGCTTGTGCGCTTGGATGTGATATTGGGCTGGGGTTTGCGCTTGCGCCGTTGCGCTTGCGTTGGTGGCTACAATTGCGACGCGCGCGCGCATGTGTCTGCGCCTGCGTCTTCGTGTTCATGCGGTTCCTCCACGCGCCCTCTTTCTTTGCGCCGCTCCGCGCGTCTATCCCCCTCTCTCTCTGTCACTCTCTCGCTCTCTCTCTCTCTCTCTCTCTCTCTCTCTCTCTCACTTGTCAAACTACATGCTTCACTTCCTGCATTTGTGTTGCATGTACTGCAGGCCTTGAGCTCACTACATCGCATGTGTAAAAGGTGGATTGCTGCAGACTACAATCGGTTGACTGTTTGTTTGAACACTACAGCACTTGCACTTGGAAGCAAAGTAACCACCGATTTTAACGTGGTAGCGGAGCTGAGATCCTAAACATAGGGGAGCTCCAGTAAGCAGTAAGTACTACAACCACAGCAACAGCACTCACATGCCAAACTACTACGACATGTCAGGAGAAGCAGCATCAGCCTCAGCACAACAAACTACAGGAGCAGAGAACGGCCCAACAGCAGACACAGTAGGAGCCACAACTACGGGAGCAGGAACAGAACAATTCAACGACGTTCAGAGACTACATAGATACAAACTGCCACCACCCTTCTTCACTGGTGACTACTCCCAGTGTGAAGAATGGCTGTTCAAGCTACAAGCAGACCTCGGCCTCATAGACCGAGACTTCGACCTGGTGCTACAACTAGCACAAGTGGCTACACGACAAATTGAGGACACAGACATAAGAGCCCACATACGCGACCCTACACAAGCAACAAAAGCAGTAGACCTCTCACGAGATCTACACTACATCCTCATCAACATTGGTCAGGGAGCAGCAGCTACAGTAGTAAGGCAAAACCGCTACAACGCAAACGGATGCGAAACACTACGACTACTACACAACAGGTTCAGCCTACCAGTAGGAACAAGAAGCGTTGGTTACCTTACCAAACTACTGGAACCTACATTCAACGAAGCGCAGTTTGAAGAACAATTTCTACAATGGGAATGCGACATCAACCGCTACGAGAAAGACAATGGAACAGCACTACCACATGGAATCAAAATAGCAATACTACTCAACAAAACCAAAGGAGCACTGCAGCAGCACCTCCAACTGCGAGCTGGACAGATCACGAACTACATCGAGATCAGAGCACTCATCTTGGACTACTACAAGACGATTTCAGCCTTCACTAGATCTACTTCAGCAGTAGGAACAAACTACAATGGAGGAGCTGCACCAATGGATGTTGACAACATATGGAGGAAAGGAAGAAACGACAAAGGCAAAGGAAAAGGAAAAGGCAGCTACAAAGGAAGCAAGAGCAAAGGCAAGTACAGGAGTAAAGGGCACTACAAAGGATTCGACAAAGGCAGCAAAGGAAACTACAACAAAGGAGGATACAACAAGAGCAAAGGAAAAGGCTACTCAGGGTCCAAAGGGTATGGATCAAGCAAAGGCTACAAAGGCCAAGGAAACTACAGCAAATCAAACGGAAAAGGAAACAACAACTACACAACATGCCATCGATGTGGCAAGCCTGGCCACTGGGCACAAGACTGCAGAGTGCCAGTATGGCACATAGGAGAAGGAGAAGAACTACATCCAATAGAACAAGAACAAGCAGATCATGACAACAATGAAGAACTACCTCAGGATGTGAACGACACTTGGGACTGGTACTACGAAGGAGAAGAAGGACAACACGAGATGAACTACATGGAGGAGAACTGGAACGACTACGACTATGACAACAGCTGGGATTGGAATGACAACAGCTATGAGGACACAGCAAACTACATTGGAGGCATCAACGAGTCACACCTTACCGTTGGACACATCAGACAAGCAAACTCACGACTACACAAGCACAGATCCAAATCACTACTTGGTAAGAGAACAACACACACAACATCATGGAACGACCACAGCAAGAGCTTTCAACAATTTCTACAAGAAGACACCACACAGCCACACTTTAACATTGCAGCAGCAAGACAACAACAAAGGAACAAGAAGATTGAGGACACTTTCACACACTACATCATGTACTCCAACTTCAAGTCATACCACCACCTGTTGATCGACTCAGGAGCATCTACACATGTTTGCCCGAAGGACTACGCACCAGACCTACCGCTACGACCTTGTGGAGAATCAGTTCCGCAACTCTACACGGTTACAAACAAGAAGATTCCTGTTTACGGCATCAAGCACGTTCCCTACAAGCAGGACAACTTCAGGATCATGATACCCTACTACGTTTGTGAGGTGAAATATCCAATCCTCAGTGCATCAAGACTACTTGATAGAGGATATGGACTTGACTTCACTCCACGACATTGCGCCATCACACATGGACAACAACAAGCACACCTTATAAGACACTCAGGACTTTTCTACCTACGAGCAGAGAAGATCAACATCCCTACAGGATTCGACATCTACCCAATGACTACAGACAATGGAAAATCCATTGCTGTGATTCAACCTACGGAGAAAACAGTACAACAACAAGAACAAATTGCACCACTCACCCACACACACCAAGGACTACGACAGATCCTTGGTGGAAACACTGACTACTGGAAACTTGATGGTGACTACGCCATCAGAGTACACAAACGACCACGCAAAGCATTATTCACACCACACAACAGCGGTTGCCCAATACCTGAAGGAGAACTAGATGATTGGCGACTAACCATCATCAACAGACAAGGGCAAGAGCAAGAACAACTACAAGAGAACCCAACACAACTTTCCAAGCAAGAACTACAACGAAGACTAGAAGGTGACAACTGGACTGGGGAA